ACAAATGACTGTATCAAAGTCAGTTGGTAAATTCACAAACAGCAGACAAAAGTTTTGCATCAATGAAAGGTCTTTTGATTCAGACCGAAACCTCTTGCTTGGGATTCGTTGATTACGAAGTCAAAGTTGAATCTTCAATGGAATTTCTGCAGTTTTCCTTCTTCCTGAAATTTGTGGAATTCAACGAAAGTTGATGGACCAGTCCAAGTCTGACGAATTTTTAATCCCGAAGACAATACATTTACTTCACCACTTTATATCATCACATGAAGGATGGCTCTTGTGTGGACAGCACCTGATACGCTTTGTCTTAGGATGATCAAATTATAGTTCAGCCATACATCGTTTATAATCGATTTTCCACAGGCAGGAAGAGAATGTCAAATCTTTCCATTCTCATGTCCATGAAACAATTATTAAATAATAATAAAATATAATGTGCAGAATTGTTATAGATGAACATGAATTGTTATAAAACTTGAATCGTTATAGAAAACATCTTTAACACAAACATGAATTTATTATGGGAAGACATCTTCAGCCTCATCTTTAACACAATATTTAATTAAAACATGAATTTGTTTTGGACAAACATCTTCAGCTACAATAAACACACCCCTTGACATTTTTCTAGTTACATAAATATTTTTAACCATGGATTAAGATAATTCTTTGGACTACATTGATGAACGTATATTCACAATTTCAGTTATGTAGTGCGAATCACAACAATTTGCGCAATCTGGATAGCCTGAGTCTGGTAATCCTAGTGTTTATTGTATATTATTTGAAATGAGGCACCAAACTCATGGCTGCTAATGCCGACTGTCCTCGCAGTTGAATATTGCAATTTACTGCTGGTATTAATCAAAAAAATTAGGCACCAATGTTTTTTAAATCGGTGCCCCACTTTACTTGGGAGCTTTCACCTCACAGTTATGGCACAGGCTGGAGGCGTCAGTGTCATACTATGGTGGAGTAAAATCATCTACCTCCTAATGTGTGCTTGCAACTAAACTTTTTTCGGCATACCACAACATTTCAGCTCTTCCTTTTGGTCAGCCATATGCCTGACACATGTGGAAACCCATCACAGTGTCCAAATCAAACTGAGAATTCCATGCATCCTACAATACACAATACACGGAAAGCCCAGAGATAGATTGTTGGAATGGAATGCGCTCTCACTCTCTCTCCCTGGAGGGACGCCCCCTCTGCTTACCTAATTCCGGAAAGTATGAGGCGCAGATTGGCAAGAGCCAAGGCTTGGCGATAGCCCAGAGTGTGCGTTGGAGTAACTACTGGTGTCTGATCAGCTAAGACCTTGCCATTGATATCACTGTCTGGCAAACTTTCACGCTGCTTGTCCAGCTAGGACCACCCTACGCCCGTTCGGGCTTCAGCTTGCATTATAGTTCCTGCCTGCTTTATGTTTCCTGATCTAATCTACCCTCTGTTGTGCCTCATCCCTCCTCACCATTAGACCTATTTTTTCTACGTATACTTTCAGTCACCTGCTTTCCCCTTCCCCCCCTCCCCTTCAGGCTTCCAGTCAGCTGTGCGAAAAGCTTTGAGACATCCTCCCAATATGAAAGATTCTCAACACATGTGAAATTGTTGTGCTTCCCTCGGAATTGCTTTGTCAAAATTTTAAAAATGAACTGTACTCAATCCAAATACAGCCGTTCGATTACACTACTCTTCAGATAGCAGAGAGAAAATCTCAATGAGATTTTTGTTCGACCATCACAATTTAACCTCCACAGAAACCCCACAGTGAGTGATGTTGTCAAGGTTAGTTGTCTTGACTTGGAGCTGTGGTTGTTTAATGGAACCTTTCAGTCAGCAGTTTCTACAGCTCTGTAATTGAATTGTATTGTTACAACACCTTGCTGTGAACCTGGAGTACCTAGCGTAGGGAAGGCTGACACAGTCTTCTTTATGAATATTGTAACACGCAGAATCCATTTGAATCCATTCTTTTATGTGCAGATGTCTATTTTCAGTTGATAAATAACAATGATAATAAGACCTCTCCATTCACTACCATTTTAAAATTTTCAGTCAGAATTCTAGATTCTTAATTAATTATGTTCTGGTTCTTCCTCTTGCCCTCTATGCCACTTAATAATAATCCTTGCATTTAATATAGCGCCCTTATCATGTTGAGACGTGTCAATGCAGAAGATATGGTAAAGTGAATTGACGGTGTATTTGTGGGTGAAATGCAACAGCCAATTGCGCACAGCAGTGTCCCACAAACAGTCGTGGATTGAGTGACCAAATTATTTTTGAGTTAATATTTAATAAATATATTTAATAATTAATATTTAACAATAAATATTTAATACATAAATACTATTTATAATATTTTTATTTTTGTGATTATAATTACCCCGGAACGCGATTCACCAATCGACTAACAACCGGGTTCCTACTTACTGCTCGGAAAACAGAGGCGTGTGGAGTAAGGAAACTTGCCTAAGGTTTTGTCCCACCCGGTAATCAAACCTGAGTCCTTGCTTGTGAAGAGAGTGCACTAACCTTTACCCAATGGGACTCCCCACTTCTCATTGTTATACGTTGTTATGCTTTTTTTTGCTGGTTTAAATTCAGACTGGACATAAAGCGGGTTGATGGCTGCTCTGTGTGTGATTTAGCAGTACCCAACTTGCCTCCTGTCAGCTTTTCCCATTGAATAATCAATCACCGTGCCTACTTTTCTCGAACTCTAAAGTAGACTCCATTAGACCCCAAATATCTCTTTGCTACACTGTAAAGTTATTTGCAGGCGGTTTTATTTATTCTGCGAAATTGAAAAAATCGCGAATTATTACAACAGCAGTTTTGCCCATCAAGCTTCTGCTGGTGTTTTCTCCATATGAGCTCCACGGGCTCCCAATAATCGAACGGATCGATTTCAAGGTCCTCTCACTCATTTTCAAATCCCTTCATACACCTTTCAAAGTATCTGCCTACCTATCCAACCTGCTTACTCCCCACTTCCTCTGCTCGGCTATCTCCGGCTTCCCGTTTGTCCCTTGTGCCCTCCGTGCCACAATCGGTGGCCATGCCTTCAGCTACTACGCCTCAAAACTCAGAAACTCTCTCCCTCAATCCCTCCGCCTTGCCCCCTCCCTCCCCACCTTCAAATCCCGCCTAAAGACCTTCCTTTTTGATCGTGCTTACTGTCGTCACCTTCCCCCTCCCTCTCCCTCTGGCTCATTTTCAGACTCGATTTGCTACCCTGCGTGAAGGGCGCTATGTAAATGCGACTATTTTTTCATTCTAGACACACTAACCTTCTGCTACTCTATATACAGTGCATGATGGACATGTCCAAATGCACCAGCCCCTTAGTTCAGTTTGAAAACCTGCATAACAGCCTTCCGATAGCGCCTATTAAGTGGGAAATCCTTGAGGTGGAGATTTTTTAGCAGATGAATCTTCACTGTGATCTCTTGAAAGTGAAGGTTGCAGGTAGGAGTAAACTATTGGGGCAGCAAGCAAACCTGTTGAGGATCTCTTGATCGGAAAGAGATGGTTAAATGACATTGGCTAAAAATTCAAATTAACCTGCTTGTTAGCACTCTCGCCTCTGAGTCAGAAAGTTGTGTGGCTGTGTAACCATCTTCTTCTGATCAAGAGATCCTCAACAGGTTCGCTCGCTTGCTCCATGTTGGGACTTGGAGTCACATCATCTAAACTTACATTCCGTACTGGGGTGTGTTGCATAGTCGGAGGTGCCATCCTTCAGAGGAAGAATTAATCTGAGTTCTTGCCTGCTGTTTAGGTGGACATGGCGCAATTCGAAAAGAGTTGGGAGTTTCTCCCGGTGCCCTGACCAACAGCAAGAACAACAGCAATATTTGCATTTATATAGCAGCTTTCACGTTGGGAGGACGACCAAGGATACCATTGCTGTATAGTGAAGGGTTTGCTTGCACCTGAGCTAGGGGTTGGAATCAAAGGTGGTGAAGGTGGGAGGATGACTGAAAACCAAAGAGAAAGATCTTAAGACAGGCCTTGAAGGAGGTAAGGAAGAGGATGAGGCGATGAGACTACGGGATAGAGTTCCAGAGGGTGCGGCAGAGAGGCTGAAGGCCCGACTGCCAATGATGGGCCTGGTAGGGTGGAGGACATGGAGCAGGCCAGTGGCCGCCGAGCCCTAAATCCCCCAAGTAATACAAATTGATCACTCCCTCCTTGTAGATATTTGTGGGGCATTACTGCCTTGTTTCGCCCACAAAATCCACTTTATATTATATAACTGTGAAATGTTTTGAGAAGTCTTGACATAAGGCACTAAATGCAAGGATTATTATATTATAAATAGTTAGGCTATGGAATCTGATAAGGTCAAAAATCATAACGCTATATATGTGATAATGTGTTAATGTTTAAAATGATTCAAGATAACATTGTGTGACAAATTGCCATTCGTTACACATTTTTAGATCAAAGTAAGAGAACTATTTTATGACTACTAGAAGCATGAGTCAAAGTAAATTAAATTATCTTTTAGTTTATGAATAAAACCTTGTGAGCTGTTGCCTGCTCTTACTGCTATAAATGTCACCTGTTACATAGCGATCTGACAAAAGCTCCCCCACCCCCTGGCTATAAGATCTGGCTCCGTGGCGATATCTTAGGCAAGTTTCCTTACTCCTGTTTACCTAGCGGTAAGTAACAACTTGGTTGTTAGTCGATTGGTGGATCGCTTTCCGGGGGTAATAATCCCTTAAATTCAGTTTGTGGGACACTGCTGTGCACAATTGACTTTCATGTTTTGCACACAAAATACAGTCAATTCACTTTGCATTCAGTGAAGCACTTTGAGACGTCTCAATGACGTGATAAAGTGCTGTATCAAATGCAAGGATTGTTATTACCAATGGAGGGAGAATTCTGTGATTGAATCGCAATTTCTTTAGAAAGAACCTTGCAAAAGAGATTGTCGGTAATGATATTTGCTTGTTCCGTACCATCTCTGTCCATAGGTGACAATAATAGTGCGGCATTGGCACGAAGAAAGATGCATCCGAAATTGCCATCCTCTGCAGGAAGGCTGTTGACTTCTGCGTTGGGAGCATTGCCATCTACAGATTCAACCCAGAGAGGTATTCCGATCAGTTTCCCCTCTGAACAAAAATAGAGAGAAAGAAAGAACTTTCACCTTTATAGCATTTATCACGACAAAATATCTCAATGTGCTTCATAAGTAATTACCATCAAGTATGACTTTTAAAGGGCAGCTATTTGTGCCAGTAAGATTCCACCAACAACAATTTCTGCCTCAAAGTGTTTAACAATGGTGGAGCTTGAAGCAGTCAAGGAGCTAGGGGAGGTGACCATAGGAACAGTCGAACAGAAAGGCCTTCGGGTATGATCTGAAGAGGGACAAAGTTGGAGGAAAGACTTGGGGATTGAGGCAGAGAGTGCTGGATTCTCATGTTGTGAAATGCTTATTTTATCTGGAGGAATATTGGCCAGGACACAAAAATTCACAAATAGAATGGTTCATTTGAGTTCTTACCCTGTGGATGGCTTCCAAAACAGCAATACAAATAATTTAATAACAGAAATCGCTGAGAACACTCAGCAGGTCAGACAGCATCTATGGAGATGGGAAAGTGGGTTAACGTTTCATGTCGATGACCTTTTGTCAATACAAATATTGTCAGCCATCCAAGGGTTACGACCTCTATTTTATAAAAGTGCTTACATAGTTGTTTTTATGTGAAAGATGCTGTATGAATGCAGGTCATTTATGCCTTTTGCTATTTTGGTGTTTTGCTGTATTTGTTTCGCCTTATCTCATTGCTTCCCCACTCAGATCAAGAACTTGTTGACATAAGGGAAGCAGTTCAACTTGTGTTCCACCAATCTGGTATCATGTTTGTTGTGTAATACATTGGATCACAAACTATCGGTGTAGTTAGTGTGAGAACATTCATTAAAATTCATTTCCGTTCTCAGCTGCACTCAGCTGGCACAGAATCCTAGACTATTACAATTCTTTTCCCTCAAAGTTTGGAATCCCTCAATGCCTTGAAACAATTGAGAGCCAAGAATTTCAAGGTCTGCATATTCTCAATAAACTTTGCATATATCCTTCACTCCTCCAAATGCAGGAAGCAAACGCTTTAAGCACGCGGGAAAGCCTCCTGGAGTCCCTCGTGGCTTCGTTTTATCACTGGTATTCAAAAAAACTTGAGATTGAGATGATTGATTTTAGGATGTTTTGTGAACTGAACAATCACCGGCTATTAAGTAATTTGTCACCGTCGCAATTAATGGAGGTTTGCTTTGTGTTTTGGAAACATAAAATTGTGTGCAAGCAAATCCTCTGTACAAGTTCACTTTTGGCAAGCTAGATGTGAGCTGTAATTCAATAACTGAATAAAGCCCCGATATTGAACAGTTAGAGGGGTCCGTCCGTACATGATGGTGGATGTAAATGTTGTCATCCACACTTCCAGCTCCTTTGTGCATTTTGAGCGCAGGTTCCTGGCAAACTCTGAAGAACAGCTGGTGTTTTGAAATGGTTAGCACAAACATAATGTGCAGGTCAATTTCCCCCAGGCCTTCCCTGCAAGGTGGCCTATCATTCTTGATTACTTAAAATCCTTTGAGTACATTGTTGTGAGGCTTTTTTTGTACCAATGTGAACTCCGAGCTGACTGGTGCTATATTGAGCCACAGTCTCTTCACATTTCATTGCAAGGCCACACTTCCGAGCAGCTTTTGGGTTCATCTTGAGGTCTAATTTGCACTTGTACAGATTAAAATGCTCATTCAGAATTATATTCTCCAAACCTTATGAATACTTGATTTCTGATTGTGTCACAGCAATAATGGCCAAGACCTGTTTAAAAATATATATAGTTATCTGTAATGATCTACCTGTGGAGTTAATTGTGTATGTGGAGATCACTCGCTTTGTTCGATTCCCGGGCAGGGCGAAACCTCAGGCAAGTTTCCTTCGTCCACGTGCCTCTATTCACCTAGCAGTAAGTGGGAACCTGGTTGTCAGTTGATTGGTAGATCGCTTTCCAGGGTAATAATCCCGTTTTTTAAAAAAAATACTGTCAATCCACGACTGTTTATGGGACACTGCTGTGGGCAATTGGCTGCCATGTTCATCCTTTGTTGTGCTGTATTCCTGTAATCATAAACTGTACAGATTTCACTCATACAATTACGTATTTAAGTTTTACTTGTTTAAGAAAAACATAATCGACTCCATTACAGTGGATCAGTTGTAAGAAGTGTTTATGGAATTGAGACAAAAAGCATCATCTTAGTAAGGCAATAATACTTCAAATGCTTCATCCAAAGCTGTCGTGCGTTTGTAAGATTTACATAGCTTCTGAACTGAGTGATAAGTTGAATTCAACAGTGTCGCTAATCCTCTCGTCCCTCAGTCTAAACTGGTTATCAACAAAAGTGTGGGGTTAAATTTGCAGATGATACCAACTTGAGGGAAACTGAGATCCGAGGAGGCAGCAAAGGTCTTGCAAAGAGCTTGATAGGGTGTGCACATGGGCTGATAACTGGCAAATGAGGCTTAATTTTGATTGATGTAAGGTACTACATATAGGATCCAATCATAGAAAACACGGGTACTGTTTATTTTGTTTGTTTTTAATGATATTATCACAGGGTTGGTTTGCTTTTTAAATGAGTCCATTGTCCTGGCCTCAACCACCCTTCCTAGCTACCGTGTTCCAGTTGTTATACCCTCTGGGTACAGAAACACTTGCTGGTGTCTTGTCTGAAATTGCCCTTTACCCCTCTAAACCCGTGTCCTCTTGTTCTACTGTTTTGTAAGCACCCCCAAAGTATTGTTCTGGGTTTACTCTTTCAATCCCATTTAAAATGTTATACATCTCTAAGCCCTCTCGAGCGGTCTTCTCTCGAAGTGTGAATGTATTTCTCTGCGTTTTTGCTGAAATGCCGTGGGACTCTGGAGGTTCAATGTTCCAATTAAGAATGATCTGTCTTCCAACTTCCAAGGCATTAATAATTCAAAATGAACATTCATCATATTGACCTGCTAAAATGAATGGATATCAGTTTGTTCAGGAAGTGGGCAGCACACAAGCTTATGCTTGCCTTTTGTACAATGCGGCTTTCAGTCTTGCCCTGATGAAGCAAAATTGCGGTAATTTGTGCTGTTTTGAAGCTGAAAAGATTCCAAATTTATCCTCATGATGGAATTCATTTCTTTGTAGCTGTTTAATAATTAAGACGTCTCAAAGTGCTTCACAGAATATGCTGTAAAGTTAATTTGCTGTGTTTGTGGGTGAAACGTGGCAGTTAATACCGCACAGCGGTGTCCCACAAACAGTCGTAGATCGAGTGACCAAATTATTTCTAAAAAAATTTTTTGAGGGATTATTATCCCCAGAAAAGCGATCCGCCAATCAACTAACAACCGGGTTCCTATTTACTGCTGGGTACCCAGAGGCACGTGGAGTAAGGAAACTTGCCCAATATTTCGCCCTGCCATGAAATAGAACACAGATCTTTTGTGGCGTAGGAATTATTGCAACAACAAACTTGCATTTATGTAGCGCCCCTCACGAAGGGTAGTGTCTCACAGCTCTTGACAAGTCTTCAGGCACGACCTGAAGATGGGGAAGGAAGGGACAGAGTTTTGGGGTATATTGACTGAAAGTACGGCCACCAGCGGTGGAACGGAGGGCACGACGGATGTACAGAAGGCCGGGGCCAGTTGAGTGGAGGGAGCGCGTTGGGGGTTCCTATTTACTGCCATGTAAACAGGCGTGTGAAGTAAGAAAACTTGTGTTAAGTTTTGCCCCGCCCAGGAATTGAACCCGAGTCCTCATTTCTTTGTTAGTACAATACAAATATAACAGCTAAATGCAGAATGTTAGAAGTGGAATAGAGTTACTGTCTTACCATTTTTTTCCTCTTTGTTCAAGCAGCTGGGTACTGGTTCACTGCCTGCCAGCATCTCACCTAAGTGGCCATTTAGCAGCATTGCAATTATACAGCGCCTTCTGTAGATATATTAAAAAGTATCTTGAAGCTTGAGAATAAAGAGAATGAATTCACTTCGAAATTTTGAATTAGAAATTGGAGTGAATGTTAAATTTGACATGAGTTAGCCCAGATTCCAGGTGTTAAGGGATTATTTGAAAATGATAGAAGTGACAGTTCAACCCTATCCCGTTCCATTTGGACGTCTTCACAAGCAATCATTCCAGCAGGCATTTGATATAGTGCCTTATCATGTTGCTGAGACTTCTCAAACAGTTTCAGATAATAGTTGTAAAATGAATTGTCTATATTTTGTGGGTGAAATGCAGTAGCCAATTATTCACAGCAGTGTCCCACAAACAGTTGTGGATTGATTGACCGTATTATTATTATTTTTAGAGGGATTATTACCCCCGGAAAGCGATCTGCCAATCGACTAACAAACAGGTTCCTACATACTGCTAGGTAATCAGAAGCGTGTGGAGTAAGAAAACTTGCCTAAGGTTTCACCCCGCCCGGGAATTGAACCCGAGTCCCCTTGCTGGTGAGTGATCTAACACCACTCTACAAGATAGTAATCAGAGGCAAAAAGTCTGGCCAAGTCTTCCGTTCACTTCTGAGCCCAATAATGCTTCGGCCAAAAGTTGGCAAAAGATCTTTGCCATTAAAGTTGCAGTGCTCTCATGATTATAAATTGGAGTGCGCTGTACAATCAAATGGAGCGAAGATTGTTCAATTGGTTTCTTTTCTTTAATTTATTCCAGGAGCAATCAATTCATCTTGAAATTGCATCTATTATCAAATGTATCATAAATTGCCATTGTTTGACAAAGTACCATATGAAGCATTTCTTCACAAACCGTGGTCCCTGGGTGTAACATGAACGTTAATTCAGAATTGGCTTAAGGGAAGGAAGCAGAGGGTCTTTGTTAGTGCAGCTAGGTAAGAATGGAGGGAAGTTTTAAGTGGGGTGGCCAAGGATTCTGATTGTTACAACTACTGTTACTCGTATATTATAATAATAATAATCATCCTTGCATTTGATGTAGCACCTTATCACTTCTTTGAGACATCTCAAAGATCTTCACAGAATATACTGTAAAGTGAATTG